TGTTTTTTCTCTCTGAGCAGTTCAAACCACAGTTTCCTGTTACTACTTTACTGTCCGATCTCCTCTGCTGCAGTTGGCAGGCAACTTACTGACACTGTTAGTTTAAAATAGTAGAGACATTGTTGATTAAGATGATTCGACAGGCTGCGGCTGACGAGGAATTAGTGCTAGATTTACAGAATATGTTGAGTGCTTCCTGTTTCTTAACACATTCACCAGTCTTTTTTTCTGTGACAGAAATGAAGAAAGCTACCATCACACTGGGTCCCAGCTCGTCCTGGGAAGAGTCATGAGTGCCATTTTCCTTGCAGCACCGGGGGCCGAGCTAGCCTCTAACCACAGTGGGAGCGGAGCTTCATCACGGGGCCCACCTGCTAAAAAGTCATTTAAACCAAGTTTACATGACCTGGACTCACTCCAAAAGTCCACTGAGTCCGTCTGCTTCACTGCCAGAGCTGATCGCAGCCATTCTACTAAATTATTCAATATTCAAGGGGTGGTGATGGTACACATGCCTTTGGTGTGAGAGACCCGGGTTCAATCGCCCGCTGTGACCCATCCACCACAATGTGACTGGACATTTAGTTGCTCCAGAGACGTCAGCCAAATGAATAAATGTAAATGCAATGTAAAAGCGTCCCGGGTCAAGCAGCACAAATCAAATGAACCGGGCAGCAAGTCAGACACACAAACAGCAGAGAATTCAGTCAATTTTCTAAATAAAATACCCGGTACAGACATCCGATCGTAGATCAATAAACACAGCTAAATCGGACAAAAAATAACTAATTTAACTACGTAGCCTAGTTAATCATGGTATAAGCACAAAAAGCAAGCACTAATCACCAAATCAACAAAATCTAAACGTGTTGGCAAAATCCGACAGGCAAAACGCTCTTATTCTGAAATCCTCCCTGTGGTAGTTGCTAGATGGACCATATACTGTATATAAAAGGAGATGCACCCGTCAAGACCATAGACTGTAGGTCTCCCCTGAGAGAAGGTGAGATTAGTTGTTTTACCCAAGGGGGGCCTCCTCCCAAGATTTGACCTTTGTGACCTGCGCAGGAAAAGACTCAAAAGGGGTTATAGAAATACCCCTGCACAAACTCAAACAGACTCAAAACTGTTTATTCTGAGAAGCATCCGACTACCTTGACCACAAAGGTGTCACCCCGACACTCCCCAGGATGAACAAAGGGCAGGGTAACCATGGTAGTACCTCAGACATGGAAGAACCCCCCTTCGTCAGTCTTGATTCTCTACTCCACCAGAGAGCCATTCATTTGGACTCTTAACATGCTCTCAGTTGTGAAACTGGTGAGAAAAGCCAGACACCAGAGAAGGACACAGCCCAAATTCCTTTGTGTGGACAAATTAATAGTCTCCTTATAAACTTGCCTCATTACTCTGTTTGGCTAAATAATCTTTAGTAGTTTACCACTTCAATTTGAGTAGTTTATTACCATGTTCTTATTAAAAACTGTGTTAAAAGAAGAATCCATAAATGGGATAATTTTGCAGTGCTTTTCAATCTTCATCAATGCTCGCTGTCCATCCATCCATCCATCCATCCATTCATCGTCAACAGCTTATCCTGCGTACAGGGTCGCGGGGGGGCTGGAGCCAGGTCGCCAGTGCTCGCTGTCCAGTCTGCATTTAATTTATGTTGTAACTAATGCTTTGTTCCCAGCACCTTTATATACTCTTAGAAATGATATGATACAGAAATATTATCATGTGTTAAATAACCAATTTTCCTAGCTCCTGAACCAAGGATTGAGTTAACTATAATAGTCAGAGGATCCTTAGGTCCTCTCATGTAACCAGTGTCCCCCCCAGAGGACAAAAGAAGTACTGCATGCCATTGTTAACTGCCTCTCCTTGTGCCTGATTTACATCACTCTGTGTTTTAGAGGTTTGTAATCTGATGCCATGTTCTCAAGTTTCTTATACATTTTCTAAGTAAGAAGGTTTAACAGCCAATTTAATCCAGGAAGTGTTTAGTTAAGTTTCTTTCATGTGCTGTGATCCTGAAAATGTTTTTAAACCGAACCATTGATTGTGGAAGGGTATTTGATTAAAAACGCGCAAATAGAACATATTAAAGTTAAGACATATTAAGACACAGAAGTCTCAGAGGCGCAAATAGAACATATTAAAGTTAAGACATATTAAGTCTCAGAGGAGACCGGAAGCCCTCAGAGGAAAATAATATTCCCAAATATTATTCATGACTTTATTAACCATAAATGCGTAGGTTCACTACAATACAATTAGTACTTAACTCTGCTGGAAGGAACCTGCCTGTTTCCATGACAACGTCTAACTGAGAAATGCGTTGTGCTTCAGTGGCAGGTTGACTCCCTTGGTTTTGTTCATTTGGGTTGGTATTCAGTGGAGAAGAATGGATGGAAACTGTCGAGCAGTCTCACCTGAAAGTCAAAAAAACAGGGGACAGGAAGGCTGCAGGATCTCACACTGGAGTCCAGGCTGAGATGCAGACTGAAGAAAAGTCTGTTCGCTAGCAGGCTGGAAATGTGGCTGGAGGGTAGCAGACTGGAGGCAGGAGGGGTAAAGGCTTGACAGACAACCACACAATGGCAGGAAGGGAAGTAACTAAAATGAGCAGAGGTGAGTGTACCAAAATAAAACAGGAAGCACAGAAAAAACCCCAAGCAGCAGGGTCTGGAGACAGAGGCAGAGGCATAACGCTTACAATTTACACCTGCAGAGAAACACACAGAAAGAGAAACGTTCTTGTATCATGTTTAAGAAGCGATATTTTAAAACACGGACCAGGTAAAACAACACTGAACATGACGTCATTCAGTACCACGGTGGAAAACAAGCCTCCTCCACACGCTGCTCACCTTTTGCTGTGGAAACGGAATTACGGGTTAAAAAATACCAAACGCGAGTTTTACCAAACTGCTGATAAATAAAGCCAGAGCAGACAGATACAGGGAGAGAGAGCGAGAGAGGGAGGTGTAGGTTTGTACATGTGTGTACAATTAAGCAGAATTAAAATGGTGAAATAAAAAATAACCTACTAAAAATAAGGTAATATTTTCTTTGAAATATTTCCAATTAAAATATATTTTAAAATGGCATACGTTATAGCCTACTGCAATTTCTTTTCAGTTGGATTTCATTTGTACAAAACAGCTCCTTCCAGTTAAAGTGTGAACATTATTTAATAATAAATGTTTCAGTATGACCATACAATTGAATGGATCTCAAAAAGATTTAGGTTAAAAAAATTATGATAATATGACCAAGTGGTGAAACCTAAGTCATATCTAAACTATTGCTTTGTGTTTTTGGCCCGATAAATTGACAGAGAAAAGAAAAATAACAAGTACAAATACTCATGGCAATCTGGTAACATCACAGTCTCCATGCTACACTAATAAAAGCAGTAAGGCTTCCCTCTGTGTACACGTGTCCTATACAAGTACAACTTTGTCTTAATTGCTTGTGTCCCCTTCAAAAGTACTCTGTATGCTCTTATGTTGGTTGTCCACCCCAACTGTTTTTTTCAACATGAAATTTATGCTCTTGTACAGACATTTAACGGTTCTTGACATTTTTAGGCCAATAAGCAAACAAATATACATCACATAAAGGATTCAGTATTTACCCACCATCATTTTAATCCTGACAGTCTGGAGATGATCTGAAACAGCCTTTGGACCAATTTTTTCTGATGGTCATGACCATGGAGATGGTAATATCATTTCCTGCAGTCAGAGCGGGTTAAAAAAGTAGATCCTTTTTCATCTTCTGTTAGAGACAACTGTCAATCATCAACACCAGAGTGAGCGTGAGGTGGAGTTCAGTGAATGATGCAGAGTTTTACCTGCGTTGATGCACAGACACCACAAAGACTTCTAGATACATAAACTAAGAGCAAATGTACCAAGAAGAACTGATGCTATTTTCAAAGCAAAGGTTCTCAAAATATTGATTACATTTATCTTGTGTTCACTCAGCTTTCTATTTGTTAATTGATAAATATGTTCTATAAACATTTTTTTGTCATGTCCATTCTTTACTTTTCCACACATGCCCAAAACCTACAGTACTGTATATATATTTATACATACATATCTATATTTATACATATCTATCTATCAATAAACATAGCACAGAAAATAAGGAAATTATTTCTTTGTTGTAACAACATCAGCTGGGAGCTGCAGAAAACAGGGGGACACTGGTACATCCATTGACTGTCTGAGAAGTCTGGTCTGAAGTGGCCTTTATTGAAAACCTGTGGCCAGTGACTCAACTAAGCACGGACACACAGGAACTGGGGTGCAGATAAATAGCAGGAGGTGCTCTGAACTGATGAGTCAAAATGTAAAAAGTATTTGTCTGTAGCAGAAAGGAAGGATTTTGTTCACCGATGTGCTGCAGGGTTGAATAAACGAGTGGAGGAACATGAAACTGAATGGTTTGGTCAGGATGAAAATGATGTGAATAAAATGCTGCAGCCTTTACAGTCACCAGATCTCAACCTAGTATTTCAGTCTCTGCTGACATGCTGCAGTAAACGTATTGACTCATTTCTCTTTCCGGTGCTTGTATGTTGGCGTTTTTGCTGCTCGAACTCAAAACCAGTTAAATGTGTTAGATTCTTCATTACAGTGGCTAATTATCTGCTACACACTTGATCTTACAGTAGTTCTGCTTGAGCAGTCAGAGTTCTTTCCATCTTTTAGCAACTCTCGCTCAATCTCAGTTGTTAAGCTAGCAAAACTCTACCGTACTTTAGCTTAGCAGCTAGCGATGGCTTCTCCCTCTCCCCGTCTCGCTTTCCTGCTCTTTCTTGCTCAGAGTGTCAAACGTTCTGTTACTCTCCTGCCACAACCAGACAGAACTTGTCATCTTTTCTGAACCCACAACAAATACCGTTGAATGGAAAGAATTCATTGAACGTCCAGTTTAAAATGATGAGTCAAAGCTTCTTTTTGTGTCGACTAATTTAATGAGTCCAAGTCTCCAGCTCAGATTATTAAAAAAAAAAAATTACTTTTCCATGATATTAAAATTTTCTGAGAAATAGATTTGAATCAAATTGAATATACATAACAAAAAGTTTAAAAGCTGTCAAGAAAATAATAAGAAAAGTATCATTGATATGTGTTGACATAATAAAGTAGAATCAAAAGAAAATACAAACAGTGAATACAGATATAAAATAAAGATGAAATGAAAATTCCAGAAAGGAGGAAAATATGTTCAACTACAACACAACAACAAGAAAATATGCATAATGCTCAGAGAAACAATATTTCATTCTTGAACTCGAGAAACACATCTGTAATAAATCAGTCTAAACTCAAGCCTCCGTACTGGGCTGCCATGAGTTTGTTTCTAGTGACGATCAAGCTCCAGAGGAGCACGGACAGTCTGGCAGCAGCTGCTCATGGCTGCTCCAAAAACTCAGAGTGTTGCTCAGTTCGTCACACTTTGTAGACACAAGACCTACAGTGGTTGTCCTGTGCAGTCCTCTGCTACATCTTTTAAATATGCTGGGAGGGAGTGAACAGTTAATGAGCCATTAAACTATAGTTTCTCAAGTATTCTAAATATATCTGCAAGCTGTCGGTGCTTACAGTTACAGTCGGCGTGTCAGAAATGATTAAAGAGGTGGTATTATGCTTTTTCCCTCTCCTTTTTGAGTTGTATATCTTTTTTGTGCATGTACTAAGTTTGCTAAGTGAAAAAGCCCAAAGTCCAGCCCAAAGGGAGTTCCCGTCTCCCACAGAAAACACTGCTCTGAACAGCCTGAAAACAGCTAATTTGTAGTGCCGCCTTTACTTCCCTTTCTTGTGATGCTCGCTGAGCGACTAGTCCGAACCTCCCTCAAAAACACCGGTGGAAAAACACTGAGATGTAGAACACACCTCTCCTCCCTTCCAAACACTAGCTACCCTCCAGGCCGTCAGTGGACATAAAGTTGTTCCTGTGATGTAGAGACAGAGCTCAGTTAAAACTTTATGGATGAAAGATACTTTTGTTACAGATTAATAACTCACCACTCGGAAACTCTTGCTCCAGTCCACCATCAGCCCGCAATGCAACTTCTCAGTTTTCATTACATGATGTTAGTCCAACACAGTCACATTAAAGGTAGTTGGGAGAAAAGAGATAACTTTGCTTAAATTTTATTTATTTTTTTAAGCGATGCTGTGTGAATGCTTTTATGTCTTTTTAGGTAACGATAATGAATGAAAGCTTTCTCACACTGGTCACAGCTGTACGGTTTCTCTCCAGTGTGAACACGTTGGTGATGTTTTAGGTTACCTGATTGAGTGAAAGTTTTTCCACACTGTTTACAGCTGTACGGTTTCTCTCCAGTGTGAACACGTTGGTGGTTTTTTAGGTGACCTGATTGAGTGAAAGTTTTCCCACACTGTTTACACCAGTACGGTTTCTCTCCAGTGTGAACACGTTGGTGGTTTTTTAGCTCACTTGATGTAGTAAAAGTTTTTCCACACTGTTTACACCAGTACGGTTTCTCTCCAGTGTGAACACGTTGGTGGTTTTTTAGGCTACAAGATGTAGTAAAAGTTTTTCCACAGTGTTCACAGCAGTGTGGTTTCTCTCCAGTGTGAACACGTTGATGGTTTTTTAGCTGACTTGATTGAGCAAATTTTTTTCCACATTGGTCACAGCTGTACGGTTTCTCTCCAGTGTGAACACGATGGTGGACTTTTAGCTCACTTGCTGTGTTGAACGTTTTTCCACAATGTTCACACCAGTGCGGTTTCTCTCCAGTGTGAACATGTTGGTGGGTTTTTAGGCCCCATGATGTAGTAAACATTTTTCCACACTGTTCACAGCAGTGCGGTTTCTCTCCAGTGTGAACACGTTGGTGGTTTTTTAGGTGACCTGACTGAGCAAATGTTTTTTCACACTGTTCACAGCTGTACGGTTTCTCTCCAGTGTGAACACGTTGGTGGGTTTTTAGGCCACATGATGTAGTAAATGTTTTTCCACACTGGTCACAGCTGTACGGTTTCTCTCCAGTGTGAACACGTTGGTGGGTTTTTAGGCCACGTGATGTAGTACAAGTTTTCCCACACTGGTTGCAGCTGTATGGTTTCCCTCCAGTGTGAAGTTTCTGATGAATCTTTAAATACAAAGATGTTGTAAAGGATTTGTCACCGAGCTGACAGTGGTTAAATTTGAGTCCCTCTTTTCCTCCCCGTTTCTATAGCAACAGACAGACATACAAAGAGAAAGAGGAGTAAGTGAGACGTCATGGTGGATCGAGCTCTCTAGAACTATAAATGACATTTCGACAAGGGACAAAAAAAAAAAGCAGGAAAATATACTGAGAACCCCCCCCCCCACCACCACACCCGATCAAACTATACCACATGGATGGTAAAGCAGGACCCATGACATTAACTTATTTGGTGGACGTGTCGCTGTGGGAATCAACTATTGCCATAAAACAAAGATTAAGCTAAAGTTATTGTTTTTGGAACCAAGGAAGAAAGATTGAAAGTCAGTGCTCAGCTTCAATCTGTAATGTTAAGAACCACAAACCAAGTCAGAAATCTTGGTGTAGTCATGGACTGCATTCAGACCTGAATTTATGGAGCCACATTAAAGAGGTGGTATTATGCTTTTTGGCTTTTCTCCTCTCCTTTATTGAGTTATATCTCTTTTTTGTGCATGTAACAGGTTTGCAAAGTGAATAAGCCCAAAGTTCAGCCCAAAGGGAGTTCCTATCTCCCACAGAAAACTCTGCTCTGAACTGCTTGTAAACAGCTCGTTTGTAGTCCAGCCCTTGAATTCCTGTACTTGTGACGTCACAATGAAAATGCGTCATAAAGCTTGCCAAGCGGCTAGCGGGGTCAGGCACGCCCTCAAACCAAGCTAGTCTGAGCGGAGGCCCTTTGGCTCGACTCGCCTTTGTTTGGTTTTCCATTGTAGAAAATGTTGTACCTGTACCTGCTTCCAGGTACATTTTTTCATATCACTTCACCTCCATCGAGGTTCCAAGGGAGCTGAGGGATACTAAAATGTAACGTGAAAACACGACAGACTGCTGATTGGTCAGAGAGAATATTGACTAGATCATCATTGCTGTGCACCAGACAGAGGCCAGCAACAGAAAGTTTTATATTTTAAGTTTTTGTATGGAATTTCATCACTAAATCCACTTTTCAAATCACACAAGTTTTGAGGTGGGAAGCCTGTACCAACCCGCGGGAGGAGCGTGTGAGGCCGGCCAGCCGCACGCTCACAGAACCCTCTGCTCCCGCCGTCACACAGACTGCTAGAGTTGAGTCTAACCATTTGCGCTATGGTAGCATTTTTCGGCAAGGCAGCATCGTTAGATTGTCAGAACACCGACAACAGTTCAACGTGTAGTCCTAAAAGAAGATGAAACGCCGACTCTGTTTGGGCCTGGAAATTCACAATCACAACCTGTATGTAAGCTTTATTGGTTGTGAATTATATTTAAAATAAACATGGCAATGTAACTTCACTGTTCAAGTTCGGAGTTGTTGTAAACGTTGGCTGAGCTACTGAGCAAACGTTCAAATAGTTTGGCCAATTTTTATGTAAAATTGAGTTGAAATATGGTGATTTTTTGTAGTGGTTTATAGTAAGATGCAGAACAATGTTGTTGTGTGGTTGTGGACTTACCACTATACCATCTGGTAGGTTACGGTCACAGTCTGAAGTGGCTTTGATTTGGATCACACTACCTTGTTTCTTACAACCCGCCCTTCTCTGCTTCTGACTGGCTAGTAGTCCTTACCTGGGAACTGCGCATGTGCAACTCCCAAAGATTTTGTACAAGTAAGATGCTTCACTCTGTAGCTCAAGAGCAGAGCGTACAACACATAGGGTGAAAAGAGGAGCTGCAGTGATGTGCAGTATGAGAAAAATATGGTGTTTTTTGAAAATTAAACCATGTAAACCTTTTCTGATACAACCCCTAATGAAGATTTTGAACCTGAAAATGGGCATAATACCACCTCTTTAAGACAATTACAAAGTCAGCCTACTATCACCTGAAGAATATATCAAGGATTAAAGGACTTATGTCTCAGCAAGACCTCAACGAAGGTTAAAATCAAGGGCAACTGGACTTGGTTGAAGATACTGGGGGACGTTTCGTCCCTCATCCAAAGGACTTCTTCAGTTCTGACTGACTGGCAGGGAAACTCAGCTATTTAACCTCAGTGGGGTCGTTGGCCCGGGTCATCGGTTCATCACTTCCCAGGAAACTCAACAAACGTAACCTATTGGCCTCAGGTGAAGATACCAACGATGGTCGTTCAGTCTTGGCCAAAGGTAGTCCTAATAACTGTCGTCACAGAATCCAGGAACACTAACAAACCAGCGGGATCGATGACCCTGAAGTGAAATAAAGTTTTAGGTAAAGCAGCCTAATTAGTCAGTGATGTGGAAATTTTATTCATTTTAAGATTTGCTGCTATTGTCATTATTCTAATGTGCTTCATCAGGATGATTGAATAAGATATAGATTTTTTGATTAGACATGTTTTTGATATTTATTTTGGATAAATTGGTTTGTTCATCGAGCAATAGGCAACTTTTCTTTCTTTAGAATAAACAAAGTCAGTCGTTAGATTAATCGACTTGAAAAATACTCGATATGTACAGCCCTACTGGTCACTACCACTAGGGTCGCTAAAGTTCGTGGTCGCTACCACAGTCTCTGAGGGAAGGCACCTCTCTGTTCCTTGTCACACAAATTGTGGCTGTACACATAACAAAGGTCAAGTTTTTCTACAGTCTGTTGTTCCAAAATGAGGGCGAGTTAATTTATCTCAACTGGCAGATGATACATTTATTTTTGTCTAATAAAGGACTGGCTCAAAGCAATTTGACATGTTGACAAATTTTCTACTGTCTCAGGCTTAAAGGGACAATATGTAAGTTTTTCAATGAAATTAATTTAATTTTCATTGCCTTATTGTTAATGGGTTCAAAACTCACTTAGGAGGGTCATGCCTGTTTTCTCTGTTGCTTGCATCAGCCACTATTCTGCTTTTAACGTGAGGTCTCTGGGCCGGAGACAACATAATAATCTTTATTTGTAGAGCACTTTTCAAAAACAAGTTACAAAGTGCTTTAAAGTGTAAAGAATAATACAAAAAAACAAGATAAGAGCATGAAAACATTGAAAAGACTAAAATACAGATTAATATAAAATTAGTAAAATACAATAAAATAAAAGGGATAAAATAAAGTCAAATAAGATCGGGAAAGGCTCTCCTATAAAAGTATGTTTTAAGAAATGACTTAAAAGAGTTCACTGATTCAGCCGACCTGATTTCCTCGGGCAGGCTGTTCCAGAAGCTCGGGGCCCTGACAGCAAACGCTCTGTCCCCTTTAGTTTTCAGTCGAGACTCTGGAACAGACAACAGACCTCTGCCCGAGGATCTCAAGGTACGTGCTGGTGCGTATGGGACTAAAAGGTCAGAAATATAACAAGGCGAGAGGCCATGAAGAGCTTTAAGTCAATTCTAAAACATACTGGGAGCCAGTGTAGTGAAACTAAAATAGGAGTAATGTGGTCAAATTTCTTTGTTCTGGTTAAAAGCCTGGCAGCTGAGTTCTGGACAGTCTGGAGTCGATCAATAGATTTTTGGGTTAAACAGGTGAAAAGGCTGTTGTAATAATCCAGGCGTGATGAGATGAAGGCATGTAAAATGGTCTAGGTGTCCTTAAAAGTTAACATAGATCTTTCTAAGTTGATAAAAACATGATTGAACAAGCTTTGTGGTGTGCTGCTCGAAATTTAAATTACTATCAAACCAAACAACAAGGTTCTTTGCCACAGGCTTAATGTGATTTACTAGCGAAGCAGCAGATGGGAGTATTTGATTTGCCATCTGCTGAGACCCGATGACCAGGATTTCTGTTTTGTCCGAGTTCAGCTGGAGGAAATTATTTGACATCCATTTTTTAACTTCACAAAGGCAGTTGTTAAGTGAACTCAGCATTCCAGGGTCTGTGGATCTGACGGGCAAGTATATTTGTGTGTCATCAGCATAAATATGAAAAGAAATGCCATGTTTATGGATAATATGTCCAAGGGGAAGCAGATACAAGGAAAACAAAATGGGTCCTAAGACCGACCCCTGAGGCACACCATATTTAACTGGACAGAATGAGGAGACATAGTTGTTTACAGACACACAAAACTTCCTATTTGACAGGTAGGATGAAAACCATTCTAGGGCAGTACCAGAGATCCCCACCCAGTGCCTCAGTCTGTCTAACATGATGTTGTGATCAATGGTGTCAAAAGCAGCGCTAAGGTCCAGGAGTACCAGGACTGAGCACATGCCTTCATCAGCAGACATTAAAAGGTCATTGGTGACTTTAAGCAGGGCAGTCTCAGTGCTGTGGTACTTCCTAAAACCAGACTGAAACTTTTCAAATAATTTGTTATTTTCCAGTACAGTGAGCAGCTGTTTGGACACAATTCTTTCTAGAATCTTTGCAATAAAAGGCAGTTTTGAAATTGGTCTAAAATTATGTGGGAGGGAGGGATCTAAACCAGGTTTCTTTAAAAGTGGGTTCACGCAAGCCGTTAAAATAATCAGGGACACAACCAGTAGATAGGGAGCTGTTGAAAACAGAGATCAAACAACCAGCTCACAGCACAACACAGGCTCCACGTAAGGATATGAAACAACAATAAAGGTTTATGTGCTGAAGCCCATCAGACCAAACAGGTTCAGATGATGTTGAGTAAGAACAAAGTGAGCATTAGTAAAGCTGGAGAAACAAAGAGAAAGTCACGCCAGAGCAGTTGCAAATGTTATCCGGTTCAAAGTTGTATCGCTTTTCACATAACGCCACCCGTGTTACTATCCTGTGGACCACTGTTGATTTAGCCTGCAAGAAAGTATTTAACGGTAAAAAGCAAATTTGGAGCGATTTGTTTTACTAACGTTAGCCTATAGTGATGCAGCCAAGAGCAGCCAGCTAACGCTACTGTAAGGTTAGCTCGGACCTGCCGCTGTTTGCTTCGTAACGTTCAGTTTAGGTTTATTGTCGTTTTACCAATACTCAGGTACACAGCTTCTCAACCTCTCAGTCGCTGTAACTAACATGACCCACATAACTCTGCAACTGCACAGCGACAACAACCCAGAGGAAGAGCCATGAACTAACACCACAGAAAATTTACTTACTGCGATCTTATTATTATAAAGTGTGACACAATCTTGTTATAATATCCAGTCCAGCTCACTAACTGTTTCATTATCATCCAGTAAATGTAGCTGTGCTGACATTGCTGAGCGTCCGGTGAAAGATATACAGATAGTAAAGATAGTTACTGAAAGCAGCAGGCGAGCTAACGATGTAGCACGTCGGCTAAATGCAGTAAATGTACCGTGATCATGTAACGAGCATAGATTAGTTCAACCTGCAGCTGATAAAACTGTTACTGTAACGTTGCAGTGGGAGTTTACCTGAGGTCCCAGCTCTGTCTCTCTATAGCCGCTGTCTGTCTGCCTTTTTTCAAGGAGTATTGAGCCAATATGCCAGTGTCTCGCTGCACTGATTGAAAGGTACGGCGCCGACGTTGATCTGCCTCTGAGACGGGAATGTTGAAGTAACAGAGCCTGAACATGTCTGAGTGTTCCTGCGCTTATTGCAGGATTTCTGTATGAAAGCGGTTGTGTTTCAGATTTTGCTCGCTCATGAGTTCAAGCGAGCACGCGTACGAGCACACGCCTGTTAGCAATCTTAAAACCGTGCCGCTAGTGGCCGCTGGAAACTTCATAATGCCCCTTTAAGAATGAAGAAATCTGTTTATTAGGCTACCACTTAAGTAACCTAAACTTCAGCCCTGTGATTGAAGATGAGGGATCTTTAACATATTGGTAGAGTTCCACTATCTAATACTGAGGGAATATCCAGATCTACGTATCCTATCGCTGGAAATGCCCACTGAAAAATACAAAAGAATTCGTTAAGATCCTATTTAATTAAAAGTGTCAGGGCTGTTGGTGTTTTTTTTGTCCCTCTATCTGAAGCGATGGAATTCATCTCTAGTTTTTCTTTGATGTCGAGACTGTTATCTATCAGTTCTTCTTCTATGATATATGTGTGGTATAATATTTTTTTTAAAAGCGCCTTTAATTATTAACATGAAGAAGTATTCTATAGGATAGAGATGTATAGTTTGCCCCGTTCTTTGTTTCTGATTTTATAGGTATATTTCATATCTCTTAATAGAAACTACACACTAATTTAAACATGCAGTGGTGAAACCAGAACTGGCCGTGAAGTAGTCACCACGCTGAGGGAGAGTGAAAGACATTTACAGTGACCACCCAAAGTACTCCTGAGTAAAGAAGGAGGGCAGCAATACACCACAGAGACGTCTAGTCTGCCAACACAAGAAGAAGAAGAAGAAGAAGAAGAAGGAGCTCTGGTCCAGTCTGGTCTACACACGTGGAACAGTGTAGAGCAGTGAAATATCATTAAGGTTTAACATGATATGAAAGTGAGTTTCAGACAGAGTTAAAGTTTTACATAACGCAGCTTTGGCAAAAATGTAATTTAACTTTCCCTTAACTGCCGAACCGGAAGTTAACTGTAGCTTTGTCCAGCTAGCTAGCATGCTAACACCCAGGCTACATGCTACAAGAGACCTCCTCCTCCTCCTCCTCTTCCTCCTCCTCCTCCTCCTGCTCCTCCTCCTCTCCGGTTCCGACCGTCACATTAAGTGTGGGTTCTGTAGAGATACGGGGTTCTGATGGCTCCACTGTTGAATCCTGCTACATTACATCTTGTTTACAGTCAATATGAAGCTACGTGTCGGAACCAGGCCGAGCTAACGCCACGTTAGCTTCTTGTTAGCTGCTAGCTGTGTTCATGAACACTGACCTGAACATCGGTGCTATCAGAGCTCGAGCCTGCTGTTTGTCCTCCGGGGACGTTGTTGCTCCGGGGCTCCGGGTCCTGGTTGTCCTCCTCCATCCCGCTCTTGGTCCTGGTCTCTGAGATCCAGCAGGTCTCCTCTGTGACTGACGGAGCTCTTCAGGCTGAGTCGCCTCCTTGAAGTGGACAATGCGACCCCCCCCCCCCCCCTTTTTCTACTTTAGTTTCCCCCAACTTCAAAATAAAAGCCGACAACTTAACTAAAAATAAAACTGCTTACACTTTAACGAATTACTCTGACTCTTTGAATTAAGTATAAAAAGTAAAAGTATGTGTCTGTATAGAGTTGTGTAATTATTTATTAATCAGCCTTAAGTTCAATTAGTAGAGTGTCAGTTTGACAGAACATTTAAATTTATTGTAGTTGAAATAGACTAAACCCATATTCTGTCTTTCACACCAAAGGGATGTGTCTTATCCACTAAGCTATCCCCCTTATTATTACATCATTTATTACAACTGTAGATATAACCTAATGTATAAATGTTACTCCACATGCTTACCATAGACTACACAGACTGCTGGTCATACAGTACATACTTCCTTACGTTTGCACTGTCCGTTCTCTAAATCTGTCTCCTTCTCGTCTTTTTAATGTATTCACAAATACTGTAAAATGTCTGTGCAACTCCACTGTACATATTGTAATAAATAGCATAACTGGACTCATCTGTAAAAACACTATATATCTGCCCTTTTGGTTAAATGCTCATTTCATTAGCTCAGTACCCACGGCTACATTCTCCCCCCTGCAGGTCATGATGTAGATTTATCAGTTTTATGGCAACCAGTTTGTGACCCTAACCCAGCATGCGATCAACGTCATTTAGACGGTTTCTGTTCTACTTTATCTGTTGCAGTTATGGAGGGTGGAGATTCAGTTATGGAGGGTGGAGATTTGGAGTTTTTAGTTAAAAAAGGTTTACTAAACTGCCCTGGATGTGCATCCCACAAATCTCCATCAACTGCAAGATGCTATCCTGTCAATATGGGCCAAACATTTCTAAAGAATGCTTTCAGCACCTTGTTGAATCAATGCCACGTAGAATTAAGGCAGTTCTGAAGGCGAAAGGGGGTCAAACACAGTATTAGTATGGTGTTCCTAAAAATCCTTTAGGTGAGTGTATGTTAATGAAAAGGGCAGTGCATGTGAACGTTTTCAGATGCAAAAACAATAACATCAGCTGTAATGAGAGCGATTGGGAACTACAGTCCTACAAACAAACGTATCAGACTTATGATGGAGCGAGCTGCATGAGTGGACAGGTGATTGTGTGTGTGGCAGGAAGGGACTGTGTGGATAACTGAATTAAATTCCTTCCTGCCATACACACAAATATAGTAACATTTAAACACATAAAAATAAAACAATAGGCTATTTAGAGTCATTTTTTAAAATTTTCGTCTGGGTGAATGTAAATGTAGGCTACATACACAAAAATAACTTTATATAGCCTATTGTTTTATCTTAAATGTTCCTGTGTTTTAATACACACTCATTCATCAGTTAAGTTCTGTGTGTGGGACTACAGACTTCGTTTAACGAAGAAATAAACAACCTTGTACCTTGAAATCAAGCAGCCGCTGTTTGAAAGTTACCTTAGCAACAGTAACTAGGGGGCGGGGTTCAAACATCGCGAGAACACGGGATCCCGCAGCGCTCCTGTGCTTTGACAGCGCAGACAGTCCAAGAGGAGACCTGCTGGATCTGAGACCAGGACCACTACAAGAGCGGAATGGAGGGGGACAACCAGAATCCCGAGGTTCAGGTCAGTGTTCATGACTTCATCGCTACAAACGGAGGTTCTTCAGTCTCTGAACCAGGCGCGTGCTCAGACACTGGGCCTGAAAACGGGGCTAAATAAGGCGACTTCTATCAGCTACATCTGCTGGTTGGTTCAAATTCATCACAAGCTGAGTGAGGCTCGTTCAAGCCAGCAGCTAGCAGCCAGCAGCCAGCAGCCAGCAGCCAGCAGCCAGCAGCCGGCAGCCAGCAGCCAGCAGCCAGCAGCCTTTCTGGTCGGAGCCTGCGGCGGGTTTTACTGTTGCTAGGCAGCCGCAGGACCAGCCGTTATGTAGCGGTTAGTAAAGGACCAGATGTGGAGCTTTTTATTTAAAGAGATATAACCGGACAGGCGGAGGGCGCTTTCTCTGGCTGCTCTCAGACAGGAACCTGGACACAGGAAAAGAGTTCAGTAAAGTTGGGAATATATTCACAGATCTTCCGGGATCAATAACTCGTAAGCAAAACGTGTTTAAAACACAAACGACGCCTCTTTGCTTTCGTAGTTAAGTAGACAACGAGCTATAACTAAATCTTCATCCACATGAGTCGGTCTACGAGCGGCACAAATAACATTGGTCTCTACGTGCAGCCGCGCAGGGACTGTCTACAAAGTGTAACGCCCAAAAACACATGCTGCAGAAATATTCAATAACTTCACACTTCTACAATGCAGTGTCCCCAAAATCACCTTAACATATTAATGATATACTGCTGGTTATACTACAACACTTAGGGCTATTTTTAATATTCAGGCACACTGTTATAAGCTGTAGTGCAATCTTTTTTGGGCCAGCGCCACCCTACCCATTATCCAGGTCCCTTACTGCGCGCCATCAAAAAAGATGTTGGCTATTTTCCCTGAATAATGTTGGGTTTTTTTTATTGTTGTTGTTACTATTGTCATTAAAACATGAAAAAACACATGATTGAATGACAAACACCATATTAAATACTTTCTCAGGTAACAAAAAAGCCATGTGAAAAGTAATTAAATTTAACTAACAAGTGAATGTTCCTCCCAAAAACTGTGTGTGAAGCCACAGACTGTTTTCTTGGACTTAATAAGGATTTTGAGCATTAAACCTTTAATTTCTTGCATTCTGGTGAAAATTTCTGCTCCAATTTCTGCACCAATTTATGGTGGAAACGTCTTATTATATAAATGGAAACACATGACAGTGTAACTGTGCTGCAGCTATACAGCATGCTAGCCTCAAAAACCCAGCTGTATTCTAACGCTAACTTAGCTCTCCTTATTAGCTAGGCTCCTTACATGCTTGCTAACAACGTTTTTTAAGCTGGGTCTCCGACATTGACAGCGTTGTGTTGGACTGAGCGAGGGAATGTGCTGCACAAATAAGTGCTGCCTGCAGCTTTGCTATCAACTAAGATTTTAAATAAGCCTAGTAAAAAAATTTAAAATAAATATGTCAGCGTTGATATTGTGGCAGGTCACAAATAATTTAATGTATGGGAAACACTAACTTGTCTGCTCATGTTCAAAACTTTCTGCACATTCAGAATCTCTCCCTCATATCTGAGTTCTCTGACAGTCGTAATATTAGGAGACTAATGTCATTAACCTATTTAAAGATTATTCATAATATTTTACTACATGCCCTGTACTGCATTACGTTACTGTTTCGCTGAAGTTTCCCCTCGACCGTCTAATAGACACAGAAGTGGATGAGAGGAGGAAGTGCTCATGCCGGGGAAAACGAAACTAACCGACAAAACCCGTGATCAGGCAGAAATCTCACAAATAATTCCACACATTTTAAGTTCAGCACCTCTGATAAAGTGCAGCTTAAAATCCCCAACAGAGCAAGTCAGGGGTTCAGTTTTTAATGTTACATTTTTATAGCCTACTGAAACTACTGTATATGTCCGCTTTGGCACAAATGGTCTGCGACTCACAGCGTGAGGTGGGTCCACGTCACTCGCTGGTGTCGCAGCCAAGTTGCTTTCAGGGTAAGTCTGACAGAGGTATGTCCCTCTTGTAAATGTGTAACCACTGCGACAACAAGATGTTCACGGTGTATTCCTCAGAGAAATAAAAACTTTTCCACCAAGAAAGAGAGCCTCAATTTTCCAGATTTTAAACAGTAAACGCCATGTGGGTAAAATTTTACAGATGATACTCTGACTTCCCGTTCCCCTGAAGGCAGCACGGAGCTGCACCACAAGTAGCTGATGGAGAACAAATACACTGTCTCGCCCAGTCGCAGTGGACTAAATTGGCAGGTTTTAATATTGCAGACCACAGTTCTTTTGCAAGTAGTTTAAAGTTTAAACTTGTATTGTTGTGAATCTTTGGTGTAAACTTGCCTTAGAATTTCCAACTAACAAACGCCCCCGTTGAGAAGCACTACTGTAGTGTCTTCAGTATCACCTCGCGCATCAGTATTCGCATGGCGTTTGATGCCTTTGCCATTATTACTTGCTATTGCAGCAAACTCATTTCTTAATGAGGGACATTAAGTATTCTCATCTCCAAAACACACTATGCAGACATTAAAATGCCAAAAATTTCACAGTTTTATTCATAGTTTTCAGTCATGTGACATGCGCTGGGACCTCATGGGCAAAACAACTGACCAACACCACAGCTCACACCGTAGAGACGCCGCAAAAGCAGTCAAACTTTATTTGGATCACTTTCAACATAAGAAACAGAAAGATAAAAACACAAACTGCAAGTATTGAGCATATCCAATCCATATAACGTTACAGCATGCGATGCCTCATTTCTACCACTCGACTGCGGTATATTTACATTTACCTTATAGGGAATCCCTCACCTAACACAGCTCAGGCTTGTCTCTTCCTCAATTAGTGCATCTGAAAAATAAATACCAATGCTTTCATCTAGTGGTCTGTGGAGGTAATGCTGCATATTAGCAAAATAGGCATTATCTGTAAAAACATGTTAACAGAATAAGTTCATTTCTATTAAAAAACAACAAGAACAACAGAAAAATAATATATTGAATGCAAAGGAATGCATAATAACTCACACAGTCCAGGTTTCTATGTTTTGGGGAACAGATATCCTCTCCCGTCCTTTAATGCACATTCAAGCAGAAAGGAACAGCAAGAAAGAAAAACACTTTAACAATCTCACAGCTCTGACCTAAACCCTAGTAAATGTGGACAGACTAACGTAAGGAGTATAGAAGAAGGAAAGGTTAAGGATAAATGCATAAAAGATTTAATGTAAGTAACACACTACAAATGTAATTTGATCATTTACAGGGGGAAAGGGGGTTTTACCACAAGCTAAAATTATGGCTATTAGTACAACTTTGTGTTTCTGTTGTATTTCAAAAAAATAAAAAGCCAATTTGGTAAGATTTACAGATTGGTTATCTAATTAAACAAAGTTGAGAGGTCCCTTAATCCTCACTTGACAATGCCTTTGTAAACATAGTCTATTATGTGGTTTATAACTGTGGTGCAGAAACAGTGACAATGTTACACACTCTTGGCTTACATTTTCCAGTTATCTGTCATTGGCCGGTATCATACTTGCACTAGATGTCGGCCGGGACGGCTGCAAAAAAGCCTAAACCTAACCTAGTTGTTGTAGTGCTTAAACCTAACCAAGTAGGGTACCTTTCGTGCCTAAGCCTGACCAAGTAGTTTAGGCATTTATTCATTTAGCTGATGCTTTTATCCAAAGCATCAACACAACATCAAATCCAAAGACTTTGCTATATATGTCAGAGGTTGCACGCCTCTGGAGCAACTAGGGGTTAAGTGTCTTGCTCAGGGACACAATGGTGGATGGGTCACAGTGGGGAATTGAACCCAGGTCTCTCACACCAATGTCTTATCCATTGCGCCATCATAAAGTACTTACATTTACTCATTTGGCAGACACTTTTATCCAAAGCGACTTACATTTGAGGAACAACAGATCTAAAACTGACACTGCTCTTACTAGTATGTACTAATAAGTACTAGTAATAGCTCATAGTACATATCACATCAATGGGTTAAATACCTAGGGAAGAAAGTAAGAGTTAACAAAAAGTGCAATCAATACAAAAGATGGCTTTTCAGGAGCTTCTTGAAGTTAGAGAGGGACGCCCCTGCTCTGATGGCGCGTGGTAGCTCATTCCACCATTGTGGTGTCACAGATGAGAATAGTGTAGTATGCGCCATCGCCCGAACCCGTGTTAGATCAAAGGACTGAATCAGAGACAGGAAGTCTGCCGAGTTTGAATTGTCTAAGTGAATGTTCACGTCACCGAGGACAAGTAGGGGACAGTCATGCTCTGGGATTGAAGACAGCAGTGTGTCTAGCTCCTCCACAAAGTTACCCATTTGTCCTGGTGGACGGTCTGACAATCACAGAGACCTTTACCGGAGCGGACACAAAGACCATGGTATTCAAAGGAGGCATATTGATTTGGGGGTAGCAGCTGTGTGAATTTCCATTTGTTGGAAATTAAATTAAATTCTGGTTTGATCCAGGTCTCAGTGAGCGCCAGTAGCCCAAGAGATAAAGTGTTAGCATAAGCAGTGACGAAGTCAGCTTTGATACTTACCGTGAAACTTTGAATAATAGCCCAGGCTTTTATTTGCTAAAATCACTGATTTGACCCTTCCTTTATTTGGGAAAGGCATCCATATGGGACAGGCCTTTAATTCCTTTTGCACAAAACAAACTACCATGAAACAGTTAATTTATTTCAAACAGAATAATACTAGTCCTTTGTGAATAAACTCTTTACTTTGACAGGCTTTGAGTGTTCTGTATCCGCAACCCGGTCCTCAGTCTTACTAAAACCTAACAAGGATCAGCTCATCAGGAGTTGAGTGGGTGACTTCAGTATATTTACAGCGTGTTCTGGTTTTCTTATAAATCAAGATAATGGTCTTTGATTTCAGCTTTGTCTAGGATAGTTTTCAGGACGGCTGTTGCTGTGAGAACATCGGGGGCTTGTAGCGGTAGGTTGAAATCCCATAACTCTGCAATGTGCTGGAGTTCCTCCGAGCTGATTGTCGCTGATGACAGATTCTGCAATGCTGTGACGGACTTGATTTTAGTACAGCTCTGTACTATCCTGCTGTAGTGGTCTACTGTGACAGTGTATTCACAGAGGATTTTTGATTATTTCACCTTTGAACATTAGGCTATCTATATGAGAAACTTCATCCCTGTGGTTCCAGTGTTTGCCATTTTCTCCACTCACCAGACAATTTGACTCATGCAGCACTTTCCAGTGCAACGAGCTGGGTATGTTGTTGTCTCTTTGATTTCCTGTAGTCTGCTGTCACTTACTGGATCGCTATTTATAAATATGTTTACCTTTATTCCTTATAACGACCGTCATCATGGTATTCGATTAATTTTCCTGATAGAGTGTCAGTCACTGGTATTTCCTTTCCAGAAAAAAAGTGTTTCAGGGTTCCTGTGCATTACTCTATACTGCCACGAGTTGGTGTAACTTGTGACATACACACACTAAAACATGTGGAAGGCGTGGAAGTTCATCACCGTAAGTGACAAAGACACAAGCTCGCATTTACATCTTAAGAAAAACACACATAAAGACATGCTATGTTGTATTATGTTAAAAGATGAACATTTTACAGCAAGGACCAGGTAACACAACAGTGAACACAGCTGTTGGTGCCGATGTCATTCAGTACCATGATGGTCTTGATTGTTAATTAACAAAAATAACAAATCAGAAACAGAATTGCGGGTGAAAAAATTCAAAACACAAAATGTTATTGTTTGCTGTCAGTCGTAGTTCTTAGAAAGACAGAAAATCGGAACTAGCCAGTAAAATCAGAGCATCTTTAATAACAATATTTTATAGCACCTTTCAAGGGACCCTAGGACGCTTTACACATTACCACAAGAAACAACACAACAGAACAACAAAGGGAGGACATGCCTTGGTAAAGAGGTGGGTTTTTAGCAGAGTTTTAAAAGTATCAAAGAGGGAGTGTTTCGGTTCTCTGGGGAGATGGAGTCAAAAATAATATAATCTTATTTTAAAATACATAATGATGTATCTTCGCCCATCACCGGGAACAAGACCCAAAGACAGCACCTGTTCTGTCCAGCAAGAGTAGCTCTCCTGGCACATACAGCAAAAAGGATCTGATCCGTCCTTTGACATCTGCATCTCCCTGCCCTCAAATTTGGTCGGATTATATGAAGGGCTTGTGGATTTTCATTCTGATTCCTGCTGCCTGTAAAAAGTGCTTACTGCTGTTGGGTTAAAGTTACTCAGCTAAAGAATCTATTTCTTTTTTCAGACATTTCATTAGCAACGTGGCTGTGTTTGAGTCACATCAGGTTGTAGGACATATTGTCCATCATTAACTTGGCTGTTTGTTGGTGGAATTGCACATCATGAAATAAACAACTTGGTCTTTCAGTGGGCAGATGGACTCACAGCGACACACATACGTAAAAGTACTTGCTCAAGGATGTGTTACTGTCTTTTTCTCTATGTGTATGTCTGTTTCTATAGATACGGAGAGGAACAGATGGATTCAAATGTCTCCGCTGTCAGCACTGTGACAAATCCTTCACAACATCCGGATATTTAAAGATTCATCAGAGACTTCACACTGGAGAGAAACCGCACAGGTGTGACCAGTGTGGGAAAACCTTCCCTAGATCAGATCAATTAAAAATACACCACCGTGTTCACACTGGAGAGAAACCATACAGCTGTGACCAATGTGAAAAAGGTTTCACCACATCAAATCAACTACAAATCCACCAATGTGTTCACACTGGAGAGAAACCGTACAGCTGTGACCAGTGTGGGAAAACCTTCACCACATCAGATCAACTAAAAATACACCACTATTTTCACACTGGAGAGAAACCGTATGGATGTGAGCATTGTGGGAAAGCTTTCACTACATCAGATCAACTAGAAATACACCAACGTGTTCACACTGGAGAGAAACCTCACAGCTGTGATCGGTGTGGGAAAACTTTCACTACATCAGATCAACTAAAATTACACTACCGCATTCACACTGGGGAGAAACCACACTGGTGTGAACAGTGTGGGAAAACCTTCGCTCAGTCAGGTAACCTAGTGAAGCATAGACGAGTTCACACTGGAGAGAAACCATTCAGCTGTGACCAATGTGGGAAATCTTTCACTCAGTCTGGTGACCTTGTGAAGCATAGGCGTGTTCATACTGGAGAGAAACCATACTGGTGTGAACAGTGTGGGAAAACCTTTCCTCATGGTAGTAACCTTAAACGCCACCAACACTGTCACACTGTGCCCTGATAGGTGTTTTATATGTAGACTTCAGTGACTTTATATCATAAAGTTATGTCAAGACCCCCCCCAAATCCTGCAATTGTCACAAACAATAAGGCCACGCCTCCCCTCTGCTGGAGGGAGGGTCCTGATAAACTAATATCCTCTTTAATTAAATGTTTAATAATTGTTTATGAAATCTCTGTCGTCATGTAGTCTGGTTTTGTTCCACCTCAAATGTACCTTTTCTGCTGTACCACATTATTCTAAACTCAACATTGAGTTGTGACCACTGTTCAACCAGCACTGCCACAGATTTTTTAACTATCTGGTAACCTGTTTTTCTCTATTAATCGCTTTGTAAATAAAATTTTAATAATATTCCCATCACTTTTGACAAAAGTCCAAGGTGATGTCATCAAATTGATTGTTTTATCAACCATAAGTTCAAACCTGAAAAGAATTCAGTTTATTATCAAATCTTCATCACCGAGCAGCTGAAACCACAGCTACGTTGCTCTATTTGCTTTTAAAATGACTTTTTTGGATAATCCAAACAATGTATTAATATTTTATCAATCGACTGATCGATAAATTGTTTCACCTCTGCTTTAGTATCCCGACAGCCTTCTTCAGCCAAAAGATCAGGCTTAGTTATCAACACATATCCTCAGTATGAATCTTGAGTCACCTTTGGACTAGAGTCATGTGATGACAACTGAGGAAGTTCAGTTTGCTTAAGAAGGCCATGGGATGTGGTCAAAAGCTCCGACAAAGAGGTAGTATGTGAGGCTTGTTTGTTAAACTATTGTTCGTGTGCTTCATATATATTTGTATTCATACATGACTTCATGTGTAGGATTTCATTAAATAATTTGTATTATTCATCTATTTTCTACTGAATGTGTGTTTGTTCAGACTGAAAGCTCTCTGTGCCCTCTCTGTGATTTTACTCACAAAAAATATAACAGCTAAAATCGTTCTAGGTGATATATGCCCAGTGTTAAAAGATGTAATAAAAAACTACTGATGATCTGATCTGCAATTCTTCAATGCTTTTTGATGTTATCTTGGGTCTTATAATTATTAATTATTTGGCCTAGTTAAAATGGTTGTGGTTGAAAAGGACTAAGTTTCACATTATTAGTTTTAAATATCGGTGAAAACAAGACAGACTTTCCTGAATTCTGCCACATCCTGTCATTTTAACTTGCTTCACAACTGACCACGAGTGATGGTGAGACAGGCTGACGAAATATTGAGCAGAATTTCATTGGTGGCTTATTTTACAATTGAAATGGAAAAGTTGTGACTCACTTAGCACAAATAACGCTGCTGGTTTGAATGTTTGTGTTAAAGTAGATCGATAGTTAACATGCAATATTAAGTAAATTAACTGTGTGAGGCATCATCATAGCAATTATTCTATCATTTAATAAAAAATAATTATGTTAAACATTAATCGCATAATAGATCAAACTATTACGGTGTATCAGCATACACATTCTACTTCAAAGACACAGTAGTGTTGTCGTCAAGACCAACCAAACCGAGACCAAGTCATGACCATGACTAGAGTGTTCCGAGACCTATTCAAGACCAGAACTTTGAGGGGATGAGACCGAGTTAAGACCAAGACCAGAACCACACACTACAGGACACACAATAAAATGTAGAAGTGCAAATCATAGGCATTTCTTAAACTAATCTGAAAGATGCACATTCCCATAAAAACAGCCACATACAAACACTGAGAGATAAAAACAACTTCGCCATCTTCATTCAACACTGATTTTCCATGTTTTACTGTGTGTTTTCTTCTGGATGTTGGGATGTTGTTTTACAGTTTTAATTCTTTATGGTTTAGGTAGCCAGATGTTAGTATGAAGATTTTGCTGACATGTTCTCCTGCTTTCACTTTCTTGGAGTGCGTGTTAAGGGGGGCAGCCGTTAACGGTAACAAAAATGTTTCATTAGCTATGAGTCGTGTTATTGGTTGCATTTGAAGCAGTAAGTGTTACATCCAATCAAAGTTAAGCTGACAAAAAATCTGATAATGCACAGGCAATTTATTGGTATTCCCACAGTTGTGGTCTTGACTGGTAAATAAATTAAATCCCGAGTCCTATGTTTGAGACCGAAACGAGTACAAATGCAGCCTTTCAGGACGAGACCTTCAAAAAGTGGTTTAGCATAACAGATACATTTACTCCAGTTCTGTACTTAAGTACAACAGTGAGGTACTTGTGCTTTTCTTTCCATGATATTACTCCACCACATCTCACAGGAAAATACTGTACTTTATTGAGTTTATAAAATATAATTTTTTGTTACAGATTTATTTGTTACAGATTTAACTTATCAGTAGTAGGGCTGCACATATCGATTATTTTTCCGATTAATATAACGATTAGTTTTTCGATTAGTCAATTAATTTAACGACTAATTTTGTTTATTCTAATGAAAGAAAATTACTTGATTAACATAACAATTTTTCCAAAATAAATATGAAAAACATGTCTAATCAATAAATCTATATTTTATTCAATCATCCAGATGAAGCACATTAGAATAACGACAATAGCAGCAAATCTTAAAATGAATCAAATTTCCACGTCACTGATGTGTTGTGATAATAACAATAACAGACATTAATTAGGCTACTTTACTTAAAACTTTAAATGTTTCTGCCATGGATTAATTTCAATATTAAGTAATGCAGTATGATTATAAAATGTATTTCTGCATCAGTGAACACCTGAAAGGACTCAGACTGTACAGACAGTCACATATTGTTTTAGTTTAGGATTCCTGTGGTTTGACTTTGTGGTTTCTACCATGAGCCGAATTATCGCAGCAGCCGTCTCCTCTCCAAAACAAACAGTCATTAAAACATTAAAAACACTGAAGGAAGCATTCCTGAAAAAATTAGAGTCATTTCAGTGGACACTGGTGACATTACGTTGTCAGCCAGCCGACCTCTTGACAGGGTAAGAGCTGTCAGTTGGAAATGTTTTTAATGTCAGTGAACGCTTATGTAAAGCTGGTAGAACTGGCGCATGCTGTATCTCACAAAAGTGAGTAAACCCCTTACATGTTTGTAAATATTTGATTATATCTTTTCATGTGACAACACTGAATATATTACACTTTGCTACAATGTAAAGTAATGAGTGTCCAGCTAGCATAACAGTGTAAATTTTCTGTCCCCTCAAAATAACACATCACATAGCCATTAATGTCTAAACCACTGGCAACTGAAGTGAGTACACCCCTATGTGAGAATGTCCCAAAAGGGCTCAAGTAGCCATTTTCCCTCCCCAGTGTCATGTGATTCAGTAGTGTTACAAGGTCTCAGGTGTGAATGGGGAGCAGGTGTGTCAAATTTGGTGTTATTGCTCTCACACTCCCTCATACTGGTCACTGGAAGTTCAACATTGCACCTCATGGCAAAGAACTCTCTGAGCATCTGAAAAAAAGAATGGTTGCTCTACGTAAAAATGGCCTAGGCTATAAAAAGATTGCCAAGACCCTGAAACTGAGCTGCAGCACGCTGGCAAAGACCATACAGCGGTTCAACAGGACAGGCCTCGCCATGGTTGACCAAAGAAGTTGAGTGCACATGCTCAGCTTCATATCCACTTTCCAAGCCCATTAGCTCAGTCTGAAGGATTTATTAATTAACTAAGACAACACACTATTTTTCTGAACTCATTTCTACAACTCAACATAATCCTATGTTTTTATTTAAGTCTGTGGATCTGCTCATAAACCCAACCCCCTCCTTGTGTTTCAGCTGGAAGTAATGATGATTGTGATAGTAGAAGTAGTAGAAGTAATGATGAGCTTATTATAATGATAAAGGTGGTGTCAATCGGAGCCTCTATTACCCCCCTCTTCCTCTTACCCTGAGGTTCCTCACCGGCAACAAGAGAGTTTTAACCAGTTTTATCCCATTGACTTGTGAGCTTTTAAAAACAGTATCACAAATGAGAGTGTCCTCCAGCCCACTTGATGTAATTCCTACAAAGTTTTTACTGAAAGTAATGGATTCTGTTGGTCTTAGGACCCATTTTGCCTTTTCACTTGTTTAACCCAAAAATCTATTGATCGACTCCAGACTGTCCAGAACTCAGCTGCCAGGCTTTTAACCAGAACTAAGAAATATGACCACATTGCCCCTATTTTAGCTTCACTACACTGGCTCAATTCTAAAACATACTGGGAGCCAGTGTAGTGAAGCTAAAATAGGAGTAATGTGGTCATATTTCTTAGTTCTGGTTAAAAGCCTGGCAGCTGAGTTCTGGACAGTCTGGAGTCGATCAATAGATTTTTGGGTTAAACAGGTGAAAAGGCTGTTGCAATAATCCAGGCATGATGAGATGAAGGCATGTAAAATGGTCTAGGTGTCCTTAAAAGTTAACATAGATCTTTCTAAGTTGATAAAAACATGATTGAACAAGCTTTGTGGTGTGCTGCTCGAAATTTAAATTACTATCAAACCAAACACCAAGGTTCTTTGCCACAGGCTTAATGTGATTTACTAGGGAACCAGCAGATGGGAGTATTTGATTTGCCATCTGCTGGGACCCGATGACCAGGATTTCTGTTTTGTCCGAGTTCAGCTGGAGGAAATTATTTGACATCCATTTTTTAACTTCACAAAGGCAGTTGTTAAGTGAACTCAGCATTCCAGGGTCTGTGGATCTGACGGGCAAGTATATTTGTGTGTCATTAGCATAAATATGAAAAGAAATGCCATGTTTATGGATAATATGTCCAAGGGGAAGCAGATACAAGGAAAACAAAATGGGTCCTAAGACCAACCCCTGAGGCACACCATATTTAACTGGACAGAATAAAGAGAGATAGTTGTTTACAGACAAGCAAAACTTCCTATTTGACAGGTAGGATGAAAACCATTCTAGGGCAGTACCAGAGATCCCCACCCAGTGCCTCAGTCTGTCTAACATGATGTTGTGATCAATGGTGTCAAAAGCAGCTCTAAGGTCCAGGAGTACCAGGACTGAGCACATGCCTTCATCAGCAGACATTAAAAGGTCATTGGTGACTTTAAGCAGGGCAGTCTCAGTGCTGTGGTACTTCCTGAAACCAGACTTTTCAAATAATTTGTTATTTTCCAGTACAGTGAGCAGCTGTTTGGACACAATTCTTTCTAGAATCTTTGCAATAAAAGGCAGTTTTGAAATTGGTCTAAAATTATGTGGGAGGGAGGGATGTAAACCAGGTTTCTTTAAAAGTGGTTTCACGCAAGCCGTTTTAAAATATCAGGGACCCAACAACCAGTAGATAGGGAGCTGTTGAAAACAGAGATCAAATGGGGCCCAACAGAATCTATTACTTTCAGTAAGAACTTTGTAGGTATTACAAGTGGGCTGGAGGACACTTTCATTTGTGATACTGTTTTTAAAAGCTCAGACAAGTTGATGGGATAAAACTGGTTAAAACTCTCTTGTTGCTGGTGAGGAACCTCTGAGTAAGAGGCCGCGGGGGTAATAGAGGCTCTGATTGACACCACCTTATTGGTAAAATAGAAAATTAAAGGGGACTGAGGGTTTGCTGTCAGGGCCCCGAGGCTCTGGCCTGTTTTATTGTTTTTACACTTTCTATAAATAAAGATGATTATTATTATTATTATTATGCAGAGGTTGTCTTTGGGAAATAGATGTATGAGTGCTGCCAGCATTGCTGCAGAGGTTGAAGGGGTGTGGGGTCAGCCTGTCAGTGCTCAGACCATACGCTGCACACTGCATCAAATTGGTCTGCATGGCTGTCCCAGAAGGAAGCCTCTTCTAAAGATGATGCAAAAGAAAGCCCACAAACAATCTGCTGCAGACAAGCAGACTAAGGACATGGATTACTGGACCACAACCTGTGGTCTGATCTGACAAAGATAAATTTATTTGGTTCAGTTGGCGTCAAGCGTGTGTGGCTACAGACAGGTGAGGAGTAGAAAGCCAAGTGTGTCTTGCCTACATTCAAGCATGGTGGTGGGAGAGTCCTGGTCTGGGGCTGCATGAGTGTTGCCTGCACTGGGAAGCTACAGTTCAGTGAGGGAACCATGAATGAACATGTACTGTGACATACTGAAGCAGAGCATG